TACCATATGGTCTCAGTGACCAGGAGTTTTACACTCATAGTATTCTATGTAAGAAATTGCTCATGCCAATGACAGTTGGCCTTTAATTGTTATCCACACATGTAAATGTCCTAGACTGCTTACTGCATTTTCAACCTATCCAGCCACCATGAATTGTGCATTTCCTATAAATCCTATTTAACAAAATACCCAAAACACAAACAAATTGCATAATGAAATTGTGCTGTTTTTCTTTATTCTTAATTGGCCCACTCAGCTTCACTACTGCCCATGTCATTTCCTGTTCAAGCATTTCCATCATTTAACACATGATCCCCAAAAACATTCCGTATGCATAAGCATGTGTGGGAGAAGTGGGGGTCTGCGTTTGTGTATGTGTATATTCTGGTGATATGTGCTGGTGTGTGTGTTTGTCCCTACGAGATTGAAATTGTGAGCCAGTCAGCAACTCATCTCCCTTCTCCATAATTTCTTGCATTCTTATTATTAAATTCTGACACCTGTGTGGGAAGATCTAGAGCTCAATCTGGCTTCTTTATTGAAACCAGAATATCACACTAGGTGTGAGAAAAAAAGAAAATACCTTGTCACTTTTTTTAAAGAGCAGGGAGCCTGAAAATGGCTTCTATGCATCTGTCATATCAGCCCAGATCCATCACTTTCATCTCATCCTTCTTAAGATCTGTATTTCTCCATATCTTCTTCTTTCTCTCACTACTCTCTCTAATTCTATATCCTTTCCTGCCTCTGGGAAGGCCTCTCTAAGTTCTATTAGACTTCAAGGCTGAATTTGTTTCTGGACAGTTCCATATGTAGTGCAAGATTATTTCTCTCTCTCTCTCTCTCTCTCTCTCTCTCTCTCACTCACTCTCCAGTATATCACTAGGACTTGAATCAGTGTTGAGATCACTGTGTGAAGGGGTGTCTGACCCAGGAGTTAAAGTCTAACACATCTTATTGGGACTCAATATCATTGTTTAGCGACATTTCAGGAAACAATTAGTGAACTAAAGATAAAGTTACAACATATACGATAAAACCAATGAGGCCTTTACTTCCTCCAATTCCAAAAGCTGAAATAAAACACTAAACCAAGTGACTGCTATCCACGTTTCTTGTATATTAATCAGTACCTTAGAATTTTGCAATGAAAAGTATTACTTAAGGGACTGTTACTAATGAAAGTTACTGATATTTTTGCCATATGGCAAAAATATCATATCATGATTTTTTTTTAGACAGGATCACAATCTATTTCGCAAGTTACTAGACAGTACAACCAGCTACTTCCTATTTTAAATAAATATAGCCCTATAAGGTAACAAAATCTAAAACAAAAGCATCTTTCAGGTATGTTCTTTTGAGGTGGTTAAAGAGATTTGCTGTGGTGCCATCCGACTTACGAACCTTATCTTTACAAATTTGTCAAATAACTGTTGGTTGCACTGTGCTGGTTTTGGAAAATCCGAACAAGTTCCATACTACCGATGATGAATTAATATTAAGGCCCAACTCCTCCGTGTCATCTATGCCTCTACATTGCCAAACAGGGAATGTATTGATGTTGTGCATTGCGTGTTGTGACAAGGTCGTGAAAAGAAGAGAAATCCAGAAAGCACAACCTGTTGTGTGCTATTACCAGTTTATTGGTGTGTCGAAAATGATTTGGCTGACAAGAACTTTAGACGCGTGTATGAGCCATAGAACTGCAACTGATAGGATGTGCACTGTAGCACAATACTAACGATCTCTCCGTACAGGCAGATTGTGGAGACATTTTAATTGTTCATGATCTAAGATCATCAAATCACATACCCCTACAGGGTAGTGTTACATATCAGAATGGACACAAGCTTATTTAATATTTAATATATCAATGCTTCTGTGTGGTCTGTTCATTGGTTGCTGTCTTCCGGAGCAGACGGTGATATGTAAACCATAATATGCATGGCTGCTGTTCGGTTCTGCCATTGTCTCTGTCAGCATGGATATGCCAGTTAGGGCATCCTGGGCTCTCCCCTTTGCTCCTCACTGACTCTGAAGCTCCTGTATAGAATACAGAAATGTCCCTCCTGATTTTGCCCTGCATGTCATGATGGAATCTCCTGCCTTTATTAGTTTGCTTTTGTCAGGATCTATTGGGTGATGAGGCAGAGTGAGAGAAATCCTCAGTACAACAACCAGATTCATGGTAACCATGACAACAGCACACCTTAAACCTCCAGTAATCCTCCGGAAGATTAAAGGGGGACAATTTTCTGTTCAGCTTGCTGCCACATTCTCATATGCGTGCCCCTGCCACACAATCCCAATGTGGGGCATACTTGTTCAACAATTGCCATTTGCTGAGTCAGAAGTTTCTTGTTTTGTTTAGCTACCCATCCATCTATCCATCTTTCAATCCCTTATCCTGGTGAGGATTGCAGAGGGCCTGGAGTCTATCTCAGGCAACCTAGAACACAAGGTTGGGGAACACTGTGGATGGGATTCCAGAGATGTACTGACCAGCATAGTAAGAAATATCCAGTTAAAGAGGTCCACCAAAACCAAATACTGCAATCTTTTACCAAATCTGTAGGCATCCTCTCCCATCACCTTAACATCACAAAAACAAAACTGCAAATAGCTTTCAGACACAGCAGTTAAAATCTATGGCAGGCAGTACATCGCAATGGATTAAAATAAGCCTTAAGTTAATGAGAATGCCAGGCTTGGGTTCAGGACTTTATAAATCACAACGCTGTCTGAGGTGGCAGGTTGGACGTTTTATCCCTACCTCCAGCCGAGGCTGATTATTGGTCTTGATTGCTGATCGAAGAGAAAACAAGAAGCTGACTTGTACAATTACGTTGATGCAGAAGGCAAAAGAAGGCCCTGTGCTGCTTCTGACAGATCAGGGTATTGTCTGTGAACATCACGCCAAATAACCAGGGACGGGATCTAGTTCAAATTTATGTGGGCACATTCCCAGTAATCGTCATCCTATTGTGTAATATCTAACCGAGAAGAACCATTGTTTGGGGTACCTGCCTCAACAGCAGGGAAATCATTCTCTGGATTCCTTTCTAGAGCTGGAAATAAATTTCCTGTGTTTGGGGACACAACTCAATTAAAGACATAAAGAATGGTTATTCTGACATTAAATGGAGAATTAATGTTGTAACCAAGATATAATAGACTCCTAGGACTTCATTATTGTGTAAAATTCAATATACATTCTTGTAAGCATGGGAGAAACACCTTGTACATACTGTAAGGAAACAATATCTGTTAACAAAGAAAATCTGAGTCAGCATAATAATTCTTCAAGATTTTTTATTAAAAATCAGGAGCAGCTGGGATTGGTCTACTAATAACCCCTATCACAGAAAGCAGGACATTCTCCAATTTTCTCACTTCACACTATCCGTTTCAGTTACTACAGCATTCCTTTACAACTCATTTATTATTCAGCTACTCACAGACTTTCCTCCTCTTCTCAAAGAATATTCCCCTTCTACTGTCACCTTCTACAATACCCACATTCTCTCTTTATATTAATTCTTTATGTGAATTGTAATGTATAAGTGGTACCTGTTTTCATCGCACTATTGCATGTCTATTGTCTTTTCATTTATTTATTTGATAACTTTAGGTGAGTAAGTATTACAATGCACTTGCTGCACATGGCCAATAAAACACATTGAATCTTGAATCACAGCTTAATCATAACAGTTATGCCACACTGGGGATTTATATATGGACTATCTTAAGTGAATTTGATTTTGTTCTGTCTATTTACAGTACATGTCACTTCCCCTTCCCATCTTCAACTACTTCTGCACTTACTCATTCTTCATCTCCAACTACTCTATTCACATTCTGCCTTAGTCTAAGAGTGCTGTGCTCAATCTATTCCCTTCTGCTACCAATGTATTTCATGTCCTCAGATGCACCTTTAATATAGTTCTTCACCACTCACAATCATTTCTTCTTTTACTAATCACTTGGCCATCGTTGCTTCTACCTGACATTTATCATTCTCACTCGACAAGTTTGTCACCATCACTACCCAGTCTAACCCTAGAGCTACTTAATTCCCTCTGTCTCTAGCAAATCTGACTACAAAAATAACGAAAAAATGCTTGTCATGGCACCTAAGGCATATTTCCTGACATTGTTGAAGGCACAAACATAGCAGTACTCATTAAATTTTTTGAACACGCAGACACTTTTGAATGTCAGTAACAGCTATACCCATGCAACTCACGTTTACCTATAAAACCATTTCTACACTGAAACATGATAAGCCAAAGCTGTTGCCAGATAGGTACTAATTGTCCTCTACTATCATGACATGTATACTTCAGTTAAAGCAAAGGTAACCTAGACCTCCAGCGCTATCCTTGTTTCTGTGAATTAGACACTAAACTTAGCCCCAAGAAACTGTGTTAACTGACTGCTATTAGCAGTCAGACAGCTCTGTGTTTAGCAGAATACCTGTCCGATTTAAGCTATTGGGCATTGGAGTGCTGAGTAATCTGATGAGAGACTGCAAATCCTCATTCATATTCACAACGTAGTGGTAATGTTAAAAACCTTCTCCAGCAATAAGAGTACTTGTTAATCAATTCTGAGGCCACACTGGAAGCCCTCTGCTGCATTTTCAAAGTGCACCACTACTCTGTCCTTGTTGCACATTAATTGAGTTAAACATGCTTGGTAGTGGAAATGTACTCAGGCCACACTGCTGTCTTATCCCTTCCCTCCCCACTCTGACCCTCCCTTCCCTCTTTATCATCCCTCACACATCATGCCATGACAACAGTGTGTTTTTCTTGACGTGGCGTGACGATGACTTGTCAGCTTGGGCTCGCTATGACAACAGTGTGGCATAGGATTCGTCACCGTTCTTTCCAGAAGAATTGAGAAACTTCAGTCTCTGCTTAATGTTTGCAAATCAAAAGACATTAATCAAAAAAAGAAGCTTTTTAAGAAAATTCCCTGGGAGCATGTCTTACCTTAGCAAACTGAGAGTTTATCCATTTTGTGAAAGTTTTCTTTTGAACATCTTCTCTTTCATCTGCACAAAAAAAAGAATAAATTAGAATGATTTGTGTGTTCTAAAAGGGATTACAGTTATTTATTAAGACTTTTCCTAAGGATTTAGAAGGATTTAAACAATCAATGGTGTATTTAAATTGTCTGTCTGCGTGGGAGGGCCTGCCCTGTGACAGACCAGTATCCTAGCCACAGTGACCCCTGTCCTTTGCCTTGTGCTTGCTAGAATAGGCTCTCAGCTGACAGTGACCCAGCCTTTATGGCAAATTGATATGAAAAGGATGGATACAAAAAATGAAGTGTGTTTTTAAGCCAGACAGAAACACAAACTACCTCGAAGAGTCTGCAGTTTCAAACACACAGTGAATACAGTGCACTTTGATTTCCATGCTTTTCATCATTAACATTTTCCAGGCCAAAATCCTGAGTGTGAACATTCCAGACCAGTGATAGCAGAGCAGATTGCAGTTCTCTGTATGTCTCTAGTGTGTTGAAGGGAGATAATGTAGATTAGTCACAGAGAGGACACAAATCAGTGTCAGCACAGCTGCACTGTGGATCTGTTGGGCGGGGACCAAATCAAGGGAGCAGTGCGCAGTGAAAAGGGCACATACAAAGTAATACAAATATCAGACACCGAGACCAGGGAGCCCAACCTGCCAGCTCACATCACGAGCATAGCTAAACTGATTCAGACTTAAAATACACTTAAAAGTATAATGGATGGCCTACCAATCGATAATGTATATTAAACCTTTCAGCAAAATTCGAATGCGTAAATACAGAGTACTATGGACTTGACATATAGAACTGTGTCAGCTAATCTCGCTCAAATGAGCTTCTTTTTGCTTTCAATATGAACCATGCCCATCAACAATTTTGTGTTGCCATACTATACACAAAAAAGAAGCAAAACGCGCAAGCCTGCCTGATCAAATCACATGGCAGCTCTGCTGTGGTCCACTTATATAGGGTGCAGTGCATGGATTTGGGAAAAATTTATTTTGGTAAACAAGTGAAGCAAATTCATGTAAAAAGATCAACTAAAGCTGTAGTCAATCAATAAGCGGTGAGAACAGATGCATTCAGTAAATCTGTTTCCCAATCCCATCCTCTCCTCTCTCTCATTTCTTTCTCGTCTTTCCTGTGTTTACATTGTCTCTCCCATGTCTGTCTTCCCCTTCTGTGGCAGAGTTGTTGCCCATACGTCCTCCAACACTTTTGGACATCATATGTTTTCTTGAATATAAAAATTAAATATGAAACTAGAAGTATATTAAGAATTCTGTGATCTAATTAGACAGTCATCTGAATCAGGGCATTCAGCTCACAAAGAGCCATCAGCATTTTAGATCCTTTCACCCAAGAGTGAGTGTAAGCTGCACACTGGTGGCTCTGGCTGGGAGGGACCACATTACGATACACATAATGCATACACCACATATATTTTAAGGGTATGTAGAATATCACATGCCATTAATTAATTAATTCCACAGATAAGCAATTATTACTGAGGGACTGTTCGTACCCAGTCTTTAATGGCAAATCTATTTATTTGAACACCCCCATATATTTTATGTTTAACATTAAAATCCATATTATTATTAACAAGTACCTGATGAAAAGACATTTCATCATGCTAATAGAAAAAAAATGACTTTAGAAACATGAAACTTACTATTTAAATAAACTAGGCTTATGGTCACAATTTCCTCTGTCATGTGTGGCATCATTAGCCATTATATAACAACTAACTGACATCTATTTTAAGTGCCGTAACATTTATTCTTGGTACTGGACGATGCAATTAGCTCCCTTGGCTTTCTCAAAATCATACATTTGCTACTTAGGAAGGCAAGAGCCCATATCAGCTTGTATCACAGTCACACACTACTCGGCATTTCTATTGCCTTTTCTGGTTTTCCACAGCACAAGAGCTGGAAAAAGGCATCGCCCTGTTTGAAAAGGGGCTTTGTGCACAACAGCTAGGCGATGTTATCATCATACTTCCGGATGTTTCCCTTTGACTGTATTTCACTATCTGGAGACTCATGGCTGCTGCTGTGCTCAGCAAGCAGCAAGCCTAACCATGGCCCGGCTTTGTTTCCTTTCACAGTGCAGATAAATGATCCTTTCTAATTTGTGTTTACACCAGCTGTTACCCTTTGAGGGGAACAAAGTGTAAATTCTGTTATAGATTAAGTTTTGGGGTCATATACACTTTAATTAATGACTTGATGTCTAACCTTTTTTATATGTGTGATAATATAACGGAAGAGATAGATTTAATTTATTAAGCACACATATGCAGGCTTTTTTTTTTTTGAGATGCACATTTTTGGCTAGCTACTGATGGAAGGTAGCATTAGCATTCGCTACTTTCTGCAGCTGATGTTGACTATTCAAATGCTGTAGGATGTCATCCATCCATCCTTCCATTTTCTGAAACCGCTTATCCTATTCAGGGTGACAGGGGTCCAGAGCCTATCCTGGAGGCTACAGGCGCAAGGCAGAGAACAACCCAGTATGGGGCACTAACCCATCGCATGGCACACTCACGCACCATTCATTCACACACGCACACCAACGGGCAATCTGGTAACTCCAATTAGCCTCAGCGTGTTTTTGGTCTGTGTGGGGAAACCGGAGTACCCGGAGGAAACCCCATGATGACACGGGGAGAACATGCAAACTCCACGTCAATGGAACCCTGGTGGAGACTTTAACCCAGGTCCCAGAGGTGTGACGCGACTGCGCTAACCACTGAACCACCGTGCTGCCCCCTGTAGGAAGTCAATGTACTAAAAAAAAAAACGAGACATAGATCAGATCATGTTATCTATTTCCAGTTGACAACATTTAAAGATACATTAAAAGTATTTCTAAAATGTAACACACTGAAATAAACACCAGAGTTTTCTCACCTGTATCAAGAGATCTTAGGAAAGATTTCAACCAATACGTACTGCCAAAACAGCACCATCTCAAAACTGAATCGTAAACATGCTGAAACTCTGCTCTCCATCTATATATAAACAAGAAGACCTGTATCTAATCTGCATATAAACATCTCAGCCATCTCAACAACCACATCCATCATCCACGCAGATCACATCTTCATCCCCATCTAAACATGGAGGCTGCTATTCCATCTCTGCACCTTATTCTCCGGGCACAAACTCAGCACTGCTCCCAGACTGGGAGCTGCCAATAGGAGCATACAGCCAGGGGACGATTTGCAGTTTTGATGGGGATTCAGCACAATCCAGGAAGGGGAACCAGGAAATCAATACTCTATTTAAAAGCCTGTTTCGCAGCAATATGAAGCCCGGCAACTTCCCAATGTAAAAAAGATGTTGTGTTTCAGGTCATTAAATCTCCTCTAAAACTAATCTAACCTAACTGAATATGAAACTGAAACATTAGACAGGATATTAAAGAACCAATGTTTCATTCCATTTCCGTTTTATGCAGTGTCATGTTTTACATCATCTCCTAACAAACCTAAAGTTGCCGTGAAATTCAAAGTTTTATTTGCTTTTCCCAAGCATTCATTTTTAATCTGCCTTATGTGTTCCAGAGAATTCTGCTTGTTGTGTGTTCCTAATGCAGTGAATCTCAAATCTTGAAAATTATGATTTTTTTTATTTTTACTCTGTTAATAATTAAAGCATCAAGTACAGCACACCTTTCTTGGTCACAAACACCTGCAAGTTAGAAGTGTATCTAAATTCCCTTTTGTAAGTATGAGTGTATGTGAATGCCAGTGTGTGCACTGCTGTGTGATCCTCTCCAGAGCTTCCTGGGATTGGCTGCATGTTTGCCAAAACCTAGATTTCACACACAGAAACATATTCTGAAATGCAGAAACCCCTTTTCTCAACATAACTCATGTAAAATATAATCAGCTAACAGACACATTAACATGTGAGGTAGATAACTCTGGGCATCATATGACCTGCACACTTACAGAAAGCTACATGCATTGCAGACTCATGCCCAATCTGCATGAACACAGAATGGTTTAAAAAATGCTTAGCTGGCCATTTGCACATTAACTGGGATGGATGCAGAAAAATACTCTCAATGTACTTTTGTCAAAAGGGACCAACAAGAAGAAAGATAACAAGAACCACTAAAAGCAATGTTTAGAAGAGACATCGCACCATTATGGGTCTCACCTCCAGCTCCTCTGATAATAACTATTACTGCAATTCACTAAGCGTGAAAACTCTTGAATTCAGCATGTGATGTTAACAATTTGTTTCTCAAATGTGTTTTTAATGGATCTGAATGATTTACGTATTTTGTTTATAAAATAAAGTATGGAAATGTCTGGTTTTATAGGTGATGGTACAATGATTCCACAGATATCATGGAGTAGAGTGTGAAGATTGTAATGAGTTACACATTTGTATACATAGGTACTGTATATTCATGTATTACACCGGGGCAGCTATAAACAACATGACATTGTAATAGGGGATTTACTCACAAACACAATCCCCGAAAGGGGATTTGCCAACAGCTTTACTGCAGGACTAATGCTGCCATTGCAGTTAGTTATAGGGGAAACATGGCAGTGACTGTCAATCATAGCTGGTTTAACCCACTTCCCAGTTGTTGATTTGGCTCTCATTGGGTTAAACCAGGCATTCATTTGAATTTCACAGAATGATTAAACTGGTCATTTTATATGTCAGTAGTCAATGATATCATCATCCTGCTGCAAGCAGGTAGGCTATGCTGGTGAGTGGCATTAAACACGATTAAAACTCTAAGAGAAGCACACAGTTCTCTAACACCAGTGATTCTCCTGAAATGCCACATTTGTCTTACATCTCTTTTTGACCATTCCTCTCCCTATCCGCACAATGCCTCAACACAAGCTTTTGAAACACGCTAAAATATTCATCAGCCTGTGTACATTATCATGACGCTGCTCACTTATTAAAATACTATGGGGACTCTGACTAGAGAGCTCCTTTGCTACAGAGGGCTCTCCATTAATCCCTGTCTGGA